GGGGGGGGGGGGGGGGGGGATCCTATGGTACTTGATATTTTGTAATGAAATTCCTGTTAAATTCCCATCTGATCAAGTCAAATAATGTAGGTTAGTTAGAAATTAAAATATAAAATTAATATCAAATATTTATCAACATATTTTAGCCGATCACATTCAGACCAGCTTTCTACCCGGATCTTTCCTCCACAAGGAGTACCCGTATGAGCCTGAAAACGAGGTTCATGCATGAATGATCAGGGAGCAGTATAAAATTAGTAATTAACAATTGCAGATCCACTCTAATATAGGTGACATTTCGTATTAGTAATAATCTTTATTTGTATAGGTAATCATGCGATGGCGAGTACAATTAGGGATTAATAGTACGAGTGATGTTTGGAAATTTTGCCAAAATTGAACGAGCCACCAGGGCAAGTCCAATTTGGCGAATTTCCAAACATCATGAGTACTATTAATCCCAAATTGTACAAGCAACATCACATGATTACTTGTTTATTATTAGCATGACAAAATTGGATACTTCTCAATGTCGACATCATATTCTTTTGCCAAAACCCAGTCCTGCCAGACTTTCAACCAAAATTTTGTGCTTTTGTTCGTATTTTCATTTAGTTCTTTTGTTAAAGCAATATGTGGTGCTTTTGTTTGTATTTTCATCTAGTTCCTCTTGGGTATTTGAAATGTAAATCCAAGTTTACTGTAGTAAAATAGACAAGTTTAAAAATAATAAATATGCATATCATGAAACATAGATTTTTACAATATGATTCATATGAGACATTGCCGTATTGGCAGTTCAATGAATAAAAATGACTGGCTAAAATTTATTTCACCTGCCAAACATTTTAGACTGGCAGGCCATATTTTTTCTCTACTTCGAGCCCTGCCTGCCTTATATTCTGGGGAGGGCTTATATTCGGAATGGCCTAAGCATTAGAGAATATGGTCGGCTTATGCACAGGGAGTTATATTCGGAGGTTTACAGTCCATTCTTTAGCATATTAATTATCTTCCTTTGGTTAAAGGTGTTGTTTTTATAGTTTTAATAATACGAATATGAAATAAAATATGTACAATCACATGGTTCAATAGTTTATATACGCGGTGTTCATCTTCGAAGTATTGAGAGGAAAAGTCACGTGATTCTAAGCCAAAACTTCATGTAACAATATTATAAATGTATCATCACAATATATCATATAATCTAACACTCCCACTTGATGATACATCTTAACGTTCAACAATATGAAAATTTAAGTATCCTAAAAAAAATGTCAGTTAATTAATCTGATCAGTTTCAGTTACTTAATGTCAGTTACGCATAACTGCTTTCTCAACTTCTCAAATGTCTGTCTTGGAAGACCTTTTGTTAAAATGTCAGCGAGCATTTCATCCGTTCGACAATACACAACATCAATAGACTTATCTTGCACTTTCTCTCTCACGAAATGGAATGCTACATCGATATGTTTCGTGCGGTTGTGGAACTTCGGGTTTCTCGATAATTGGATTGCCGCTTGGTTGTCCTCGCACATTACTGTGGATTCTTTCTGCTTGACTCAGATATTTTCTAGTAATCGTCTTAGCCAAATAGCCTCCTGAGTTGCAAGACTTAATGCCATGTATTCAGCTTCCGTGGACGATCTAGATACACAAGACTGTTTCTTGCTGCACCAACTAATTGTGCATCCGCTAATCTGAAATATATATCCAGACGTGGAACGTCTTGTTTCTGTGTCGTTTGCCCAGTCAGCGTCGGAATAACCAGTTAAGATACACGTTTGGTCTTTAGCTTGAAATGTAATACCAAAGTTTAGTGTTCCTTTAATATATCTCAAAATTCTTTTTACACCTTTCCAATGTTCTTGGCTAGGTTTGGTCATGTACTTCGACAAAATGCCAACTGCTGCAGCCAGATCAGGTCGTGTTGCCGTTGTAACGTAAGTTAAACAACCAATAATCTTCTGATATTCATGAATGTTTGCTGGTGTTTCATCATCGGATAACTCGTGGAATTGTTTTCCGGGTTCAAGAGGTGTAGATACAGGTTTGCACTCTTCCATATTGAATCTCTTCAAGACACCTTCCAAGTATTTGGATTGACTTATGGTTAGTGTTCTTGAGTCTCGATCGCGTTTGATCAACATTCCCAGGATATGACTAACTTCGCCCAAATCTTCCACTTTGAACTTGGTGCCAATTGCAACCTTCTCTTCCTCTAACATAATCACGTCGTTCGAGAACCATAAGATGTCGTCTACGTGGATTGATAAGATAACAAAATTGATTTTGCCATTCTGCAGCTTAACAGACTTCATGTACAGGCACGAATCAGCGCCAACTTGCTTGTAACCACTGGATTTCAGGAA